GGCTGAGGGGTGGAAGGCAGCCCCCAGGTGCCCCCGAAGGCCACGACGCACACACACCCACGCAGTGGGAGAACACTGCACATGGCCTGGCCACACACGGGGTCAGGCTTCCTCTGCTCCCTGAAAAGGACTCCTGCTGTGCCCAGCAGGAACCCCAGCAAGACCCAAAGCCAACACCATGGCTGCAGAACAGCAAACAGCTGGATCTGGCAGCTCTAGGAACAGAAGCTTGTCTACAGGGCAGACAGCGCCCAGCAAGCAAAACATATTCTGTCTCTGCCACGTATTAGGTTTTCTACTAGTGACCCCTCTTCTAACCTGGGCTGGCCCAGAGCCTGCCACACTCAGGACTCGCTGATTCTGTGCCCCTGCCCGTAGAAAGCAGCAGGCCCCAGACACCCTCGCAGGGGCAGTCCTGCTCCAAGGGGCCAGATCCCCATGGCTTGAGTCTGCCTGGGCCTCCCCAGGCCTCCCAAGTGCCCACCACCCGCCCAGCCTCGGCAAGCCGGCCTGAGCCTCCCCCTCAGCCCAGCCCAGCCACCCCCTTCCAGTCCCTCCAGCCTGGCCACTCAAGCCCCCTGGCCCCCAGCTGCTGCAGGCCTCACCCCTGACAGGAGCCAAGGTCATCGTTAAGCCAGTCTTCAAAAGCCTTGTCCGACGAGGCACCTGGGTTCTGTGGCTGCCCAGAGGCTCTGAAACAGAGTCCAGCATCAAAGGTCGGGGAAGCCCACAGAGGGCGGCAGACGCCACTGGGACCCCCAGGGTCTCTGGTGGGTGCACATCTGTCTTCCTGGGCTGGGTCCCAGCTCTACCCACAATAGGCTCAGGCTGTGTGCTGAAGCTGGCAAGGGACACAGAGGCACGCCAGCCCCCAGCAGGGCCTCAGCAGCGGCTCCATGTGTCTGTCCGCCACAGCGGGGCAGCAGGGCAGAGGGCCAAGGCTGAAGCCAGCCCTTCAGGTGTGGTCCAGTGGGGATGCTCAATATAAAATGTGGAGGAGAAGGGGAGGGGCACTGGGTATCCAGAACACCAGCCTCCAACACGTGAGAACACAGAGCATCTGCACAGGGACCAGCCCACGACAGTGCATCTGAGCTCTCGGTAGGAAGGCAACCCTCACACAGGACAAAGGGACATAAACGCCTGGCCAGGCCTTTGCCTGCAGAACTGCAGGTAAGTTGTGGGCACTTGTCTGGAAGGCTCTGCATTGAACTGGCACCTGAGGGGTGGGAGGGTGGTGCATTTTATTTTAGACACGTCTTTACTGTCTGAATTTTTGCGAAAAGCTTGTGTTGCCCAGCAACCTAAAAAGTTTTTCCGAAGGACTTTTGGGAGGAGTTCGCAGGTTGAGCTGCTCCCGCAACAGCATGGGATTCCTTAGCTGTGGCTGCAAACACAGAGCCCAACTCGAGGCCAGCAGAGTAGATACCGGAGGGTGGTGGACGGCAGCATCTTAGGCTGGGGTGGGGTCCAGTTCTGCGCAGGCGATGACTCCAGGGACCATTCTCTGCCTTCGGCCAGAGTGGCCACCTGCCAAGTGCACCAGGGATTGGTGAGCCTGGAAGCAGCAGGGGCAGCCATGGATGCCGTCTGCTCCAGGGCATGCTGGTGTGCCCCACGAGCAGCCCCTGCCAGGCTGGGTGCCCCCAGAAACAGGAGACTGGGCCTCAGCCCAACTCGCTGGCAGTTCTTGGTTAGAGACTCCAACCCCAAGTGCCTTGGACCCGCCGATCTGTCCCCCAAATGACATCCCGTGTGCATGTGGGCTGTGCATGGCCTCAGGGGTGTTAGAGCCCACAGAAGAACCATGAAGCCCAGGACCACTGAGGCGGCCAGCAGCTGAGCCCCACCAGCAGCAGGCCCCCCTCACCTTGTCCCTGAAGAGGGCCGCAGCTCTGCTGCTGTACTTCTCCTGCAGGGACCAGCAGGGGTCGTAGTCCTCCTGAGACTCCAGGAACTCTCGGAACTTGGTGTTCCCCCCAGCCTGCATCTTCGCGAGCTCCGCATCCTTCCACTTGTCCATGGTGACAGAGCGCACAAAGCTGAGGGCAGAAGGCACTCTTACTGCCAGCAGCAGGGGCCAGGAGCCCACTGCAACCAGCCCGCGAGTCAGACACCTGTGTTCCCTGGGACAGGAGCTCGTGGTGTGATACCCACAGGCACGCGGCGCTGGGGAGGCCCCGACAGTGGGGGCGCAGGGCTGACCTGAGGTGCACGCCGAGCCCGCGGTGCTTCCCCGAGCACTCCAGGCAGATCCAGATGCCGTAGGTCACACTCACCCACTGTGGGTTGAACGCACCACACTCAAAACACACCTGCAAAGAGGGCCACATATAAGTCACCAGGCGGCTCAGGGCAGGGCCCAAGGCCCCCAGTAACCCAGCGGTGGCCCCTAAAAGGGGCAGAGGAGAGGCGGGCTTCAAGACTAACAGTGACGGGGCAGGGTGGGGGACTCTGAGGCTGCAGGCACCTTCTGAGGGGGCAGCTAAACCCAACCCAGTGTCACGGAGCAGCAGGCACTTACGTTGTTTTCATCATGTGCCCTGACTTCTTTGAGCACCTTCCTGGTTCTTGGGCTGGCCATGGTGCTGCCGAAGAGAAAAAGAGCTTTGAAAACTTACAAGCAGGTACTTTACAGGAAAACCACTACCAGGAAAATTCACCCGAGCTGTGCAGAAGCCAGAGTGTGGTCCCACTACTTAACAACGGCAGCACTGGAGCCCTCCATGGAGGAACCTGCTCTCCACCTATAAGAGAGACCAGCATCCCCAGTGCTCCCAGGCCAGCGGTAGCGCAGCTGCTGGGAATGACGTGATTACTGGGTCACCTCACTCAAACGTCATGTACCAAGACCATACAGTTCACAAACAGTCTTCTTCTGACGGAGCCTGCAGCAAGGGGTGATCTTTATGAAACACGCACAGAGAGGCCACTAAATCTGATTTCTCACCTGAAGGGGGGACACACTCTGATAACCTTTGAAGACAGGGAGCCCTGAATTCTCCACACCCCACACCAACCCTCCTCCTCCCCAGCTAGCATGGGTCAGAAGCGGTGGCCCCCACTGATGTGTGGAGGCTGGCCTGAGGGAGGGTCTGCAGGTGGGTCCCTCATGGGCCTTGTGAAGGATGGAGGGACAGCACGGCCACAGCAGGCACACCTGCCACCACGCCTCATGGGGACACTGCTGGGGAACAGCAGCCACCTGTCTCGGTGACTCATAACCATGGCACAGCCCAACTTCAACTGGTGGCCCACTGCATCATGACCAGGAAAACCTCAGAGAGATTCAAGCTGGAGGAGACGGCAGAGCCGAGCACAACAGTGGACATGAACTAACCCGCAGTCTTGCACACACCACGCTGACGGGCTCCGGGTTTCAGGCCACCTCCACCACCGCCAGCTCATGCCTGGCATCTCTGAAGCTCGCCCTTCCCTGGCTTGTGAATGGAACCTGTGAGCTGTGGCCTCTGACACCCAAGGCAACACATGCTCTGGGAACCTGGAAGGACTCACAGCGCCACACCGCTGCTACCTCACTGCTGTACACGAGAGGACTGCCCTGTACCCCATCTTTAATCTGAGTATGCAGAAGTGAGTTACTGCTGAGGGAACCCCGGCTTTCCACACAACCGGATTTTGGAGCTCTGGAAGTTCACGATGCCTAATGCTCATTTTCGGCAGGTGGAAGTCAGAAAGTACACGTTTGTTTTCTTTCATTACGGAAACAAAACCCAGAGTCCACTCTGAGCTCCTGTGCGGTTCTGGGCTGCGTGACAGTCTTCTGAAACCCTCAGATCACAGGGCAAATTCCTGAGCTTATAATCCTGGTCCGACCCATTCGGGCGGAATACCATCATCATGCAAGAGACGGCCCCAAAGCAGGGGAGGCTGGGATGGGTGACCACACCCTTGGAGACGTCCTGCTGGGTTTGAGTCCATAAAGCCCTCTGCACACATTTATCTCGTTGGTGACCACTAGGGAGCCCCAGGGGGCTGGTGCACGGGGCTGTCAGGTACAACTGCCCCATGCAAGTCTCCACACTCAGCCCTGAGCCCTTGAAGTGTGTCAGAGCTCACATTCTGGTCAACGGGACATGGCCCAACTGAAGTCGGCACCGGGGTGAGCCTGCTCTGAATTTCTAACTGTGTGAAACAAAAAAAGGCAGAGTGAACGTTTGTAGAACTACTAGAGAGAAAATATGTGAAAAGTAACGGACTTGCCTTGGGCTTGAGGGGGGCTCCCCAGTGACCAGTTCTGGACGTGGGTGCCTTTAGTTCTCTGCAGTGCCGACTTCAATACAGGAAAACAAATACCTCCTAACTTTCTAAGCGATAAATACACTTTGCCTTGAAAATTAACCCAAGAATCCTGTTTTAATGTTGAAAACACAACGAAGTAGCTTTCTATGAGTGGACCTAAGTTCAGAGAAAGCAGAGCCAAACAAGGCAGTTTTTCTGAGTTCATGAAGTTGGTCCCTTGGTCCCCAGGCTGTTACACAGGTGACAGAAATAGTAACCCTCCTTCCCAGAAACGGCTGGAAGCGCCAAAGCGCCCGTGTGTAAGAACAGCTCTTTTCCATCCTAACAAACAGTGCTTCTGGACTCTGGCTGGGCATGGCCCCGGGAGCGGGGGCCAAAGCCACCCCAAGCCGGTCACCCCTGGGCCCGCAGGTGGGCTAGGCCTGCACTGCGTGGGCACGACTGCTTCTCAGACCTGGCAGTCCGCATGCAGTCGTGGAACAGGGCAGACGAGAAGCACAGTTCCACCTAAACCCATGAAAACTGCAGAAGAACGTGACGTCCCTCCCTGGTTTCTTTTCCCTCCCCCAGGGGCATCCATCAGCCCCAAAGCAAAGGAGGAGAGGTAACCGAAGCAGACCGGCTGCCCTGTACGATGCGACTCGCCTCCCAGCATCAGGGCAGAGCCCTTCGGCCTTCAGACCCTGCGTCCAGGCCGGGTCAGGCGTCTGGAGGAGGGGACAGGGGCAGGGCCCGGCTCACCCCGCGCAGTCGGTGTGGGCGGGCAGGGGCTCGTGACTATGGGGGATTCCAGAGCCTGAGGTGGAGCGCGCGGGGCGGAGGGGCTGGGGTCCCGGCCGGCGTCGCCGAGCCGTGCCCGGGGCGCGGGCGCCGGGGACCTCGGGCCGCGCGCTTACCGGCGGGCTAGATCCAAGAGGGGTCCGGGCAGTGTCGAGTCGGGGTCCAAGCAGGGTCGGGCCGACGTCGATCGGAGTCCGGGCAGAGCAATCGGCGGTCTTGGCGAGGTCCGGACGAGGTTGAGCCGGGGTCCAAGCGGAGTCCAAGTGGGACCGGGCCGACGGCGATCGGGCTCGGGGCAGGGTGGAGCCGGGGTCCAAGCGGGGTCGGGCCGCGCAGCGAGCAGCTCCGAGGACGCGCGCCGGCCGCCCGCCCCGCCGCCACCGGCTTCCGGCTACGTTGCGCTCGCAATGCATCACGGGACACCAGGGCAGGACTTCCGCCTCCGCCCGCGGCGGGCCGCGCGGCCACCCGTCGTCATGGGGACGCGGTGGGCGGGGTCCCGGCGGAGCGGCGAGGGTCTTCGCTGGGGTGCGGCCGCGGACGACCGAGGCGGGGTCGGGCGGCGGCGGCGGCGGCGGGGCCCTGAGGGCCTGGGGACCGACCGCAGTCCCCGGGGCGACACGGAAGGGGCGCCCTGTGCGCCCTGGGATCAGGTCAGGACGGGGCCGCGACGGTTCACACGGGCGCTGGCGGGGAAGGCGCGGTGGTCCCGGGAAACGGGGAAGAGCGGCGGGAGCCCGGGGCTGGAGCGCGCAGCCCCGAGAAGCGCCAGGGAGGACCCGGGGCTCCGGAAGGACCGCCCGCGGGCCGCTGCCCCGACGACTGCCGTCTTCGGTGAGGGCGTCGGCAGCCCAAGGCGGCCGCGCCCCTAGCCTGTCACCCCGGGCTGACTGCCTCCCGCGGGCCGAGGCGGCCCCGGTTCCGCCGGAGAAGGGCGCGGAGTGGGAGCGGAGCAGCAGCTGGAGAGGCGGGCAGGCGCAGATCCCGCACACTGGCGACGGTCTAAAGAAAGAACCGCTGGAAGTGGTTCTCTTGGGGTGGGGGGCGCGGTATGACTGCAAATTGCCGGAGACCAAAAGGCCCTCACCCGCAAAATGGTGAACTTCCCGCTTCTCTTCCGGGTCCTCTGCTCCCGCCGGCGCCAACCAAGGCCCAATCACCCCTCTACACCTTCCCACCGGCACCATCTAAAAGCCAATTGTTTTTTTGACCCGCCCCTTCCTTCCTAACCTGTATAAATTGAGCCTGCAAACAATAAACTGTGCCAGCTTGATCAGACATCGTGTCTTGCTGCTCGTTCTTTGTGTCCCTTGCTTGTTTCATTTCTGCAGGCGTCTCTGGCTACACCCCACGTTCGTCCCGCGGGACGGGACAGACTGGCGCCCAACGTGGGGCACCCCGGGACCTGAGACTCCTGCTGAAATGTCTGCTCGTAAGCCCTGGCCAGGCATTCATTTGAGTCATCGCACGGGTATTCACCTGATGTCGACTCTGCGTTGAGGATCACTGCGGCTCACCCGTCCGTAATACAGATCCCGGAGAGGTGAGTAGACGCATCCCCCAAGCAAGCATCTTAAATACCTCTTGTGAGTTCTCACTGATCCCCTCCCTCTAGTTTGCTGCCGCGATTTATTCCTTGTCCTGTCCTCTGGTTGTTCCTCTCTGAAAACCTTGTGCTTACTTTGGGCTAACGGTCGTTCACCTCTAGGGCCTGCACGAAGGACTCTGACTACAGAGGCCCTGCCCTAGAGGGTCCCAGCAGGCGGATTATACTTGCTGGCCGTCCTACTTAAGCAAGGGCTGCCTGAGCTGATGAGAGTGCCTCCAGTAGTTCAGAACATTGGCGTGGTTGCGGCTGCATTAGTGTAATTCTAGCTTACATAGAATAGAAATCCCAACCAGCCTAATGGGCAACTCACTGAACTCCCACGAGGTATTTCTTAGCGGACTCAAGGAGTCCCTCAGGACACGAGGTGTAAGGGTTAAAAGAAAAGATCTTAGACAATTTTTTTCCTTTATTCATGAGACTTGCCCTTGGTTTCCCCTCGAAGGCACTGTCGATCATAAGCGATGGAAGAGAGTTGGTGATGCCCTCCAGGACTTTTATTGGACCTTTGGCCCTGAAAAAGTTCCTGTTTCAGCATTTTCTTACTGGAACCTTATTCACGACATCCTTGAGGTTCATTCTCAAGACCCTGACATTAAAGATATAATCAAAACAGGAGAAATAGCCCTTAAAGACAACTCCCGACCACCCTCTGCCTGTCCTTCAGTAGCCGTAGATATCCCTGAAGACCCCACCGCTCCTACTAAAGAATCTCCTAAACTTCAACTTAATATAAATTCTTCAGACACCCACGATAAACCTGATCCTCCTAAAATCCCAAATATCTATCCTTCGCTCACGTCTTTAAGACACCAAACAGATCATTTAAACCTAAGAAATGAAGAGCCCATAGAGGAGCAAGCTGTTCATTACTATGAGCATGAAGACCCCTGGCGCCTTACGGCGCCAACCCTTCATGGTGCCACTAATAGAAGCTTCAGACCCCCTCCATATAAACCTATTTCCCCTCAATGTGTTCCTATATTTCAAATCCCTGATTTAGAGCCATCTCACAACTTCCCCCTCTCATCTGACCCCATCTGACAAGCAAAAATTTCTCTAACCAAAGAAGTCTCTTCACTTAAAGAAATTTTGCAACAAAAACGTGAACATGTTCAGCTCATTAAAGAGATTAAAGCCCTTGACGCTGAACTAACATCATTAAATCCCGTGCAAACTCCCTCACTCCCCAAAAACCCCATAAAGAAAGTGAAACCTAAAAACCCAATCCTAGCCTTCCCAGTCACTCGCGGTCGCCCACTCGCCCGCGGCCGTCACCCAGAAACCCCCCCAGAAGTCAGAAGAGAGTGAGGACGAGTACGCCCCTGACTCCCAAGACCCAGATATTCCAGACCAAGAACAGAATTCCGAGGGAGAGCCCTCAGACAATGAAAGGTCTGGTAATCATATAGAAAATACAGCTAAAGCCCAAAAATATCGCTGCCTTAACTTAAACACCTAAAAGACTTAAAAACAGCTGTTACCAATTATGGCCCCACGGCTCCTTTTACATTAGCCTTCATTGAAAGCCTGAGCGATCGATGGCTAACTCGTATTACTGGCCTTCCCTAGCTCGAGCCGCCTTGTCGGGAGGAGAGTATGTTTTGTGGCGCACTGATTTTGTAGAAAATTGCTGTGAGATTGCGCAGCGCAATAGTGAAAGTAAAACTTCACGCTCATGGACAAGAGACAAACTGCTCGGGCGAAGCCCCTATGAAACAAATGAAGCCCAAGCAGCCTTCCCCCCAGGCCTTTTAGCTCAAGTCCAAAATGCAGCCCTTAAGGCCTGGCGGCGCCTTCCTCCTAAAAGCTCTGCTACTACCTCCCTAGCAAAAATCCGCCAAGGTCCTGACGAGCCTTACAGCGACTTCATTAGTCGCCTAACAGATGCTGCTGAGCGACTAGTCGGGGGGAGGAGAAACAGAAAGTGCCTTTGTTAGACACCTAGCTTATGAAAATGCTAACCCGACCTGTCAAGCAACCATAAGACCTCACCGTTCCGGCAGTCTGTCTGATTATATTAAACTTTGCTCAGGCATAGGAACCTCTCACGCAATCGGATTAGCCATAGGAATGGCACTAAAAGACATCAAAATAGATAACAATAAAAAAAAAACTTGCTTTAATTGCAAGCAACCAGGACACTTTGCCCGCCAGTGTCCGACAGGGACCCAGCCTCACCTGCCTCGCGCTCCCCCAAAAACTGTTTGCCCTCAATGCCGGCGCGGTTTACATTGGGCTAAAGAATGCCGTTCTAAGACAACTATTAAAGGCACACCCCTCCCACCGCTTCAGGGAAACTCCCAGAGGGGCCAGCCCCTGGCCCCATCACCGAGCACGAACCAAGGGGCTATCAGGTTCGTTCCCCAAGCCCAACAGCAGCGAATCCTCCCTGCGCAGACATCAGTTCTCCCTCCTGTGCCACCCCAAGAAGCACAAGATTGGACCTCTGTTCCGCCACCAACACAATATTAATACCTGACCAAGGTATCCAGCTGCTCCCCACAGAAACCTATGGGCCTTTACCCTCCAGCACCTTTGGTCTAACTTTAGGACGAAAAAGCCCTGCATTAGTTGGCCTCCATATTATACCAGGAGTTGTTGATAATGATTATACAGGACAAATCACTCTCCTAGCCTCTGCTCCAACAGGCCCAATATCCGTATCTAAGGGAGAGCGAATAGCCCAACTCCTGCCACTCCCGTTAGAGTCAACACATAAAAGTTGTAATACAAATTCCAGATCAAATGCTGCCTTTGGCTCTTCCGATGCCTGTTGGGTACAACAAATCACCACTGAAAGGCCATTGTTAACTCTACAATTAGATGGCAGATCCTTTGAAGGATTGGTTGATACAGGAGCAGATACTACAGTGATATCAGCCCAACAGTGGCCTCCTAGTTGGCCCTGTAATACATCTGTAACCCATCTCAAAGGCATTGGTCAATCCACTAACCCCAAACAAAGTTCTAAGATTTTAATCTGGAAAGATAAGGAAATTCAGGACAAGTCCAACCTTATATAGTAGCTGGGTTGGTTACCCATTAATTTATGGGAACGTGACGTTTTATCTCAATTGAAACTTGTCATGGCTAGCCCGAATGATATAATCACCCAACAAATGCTTAACCAAGGCTATCTGCCCAGCCAGGGCCTAGGAAAAAATAGCCAAGGTATAAAAGAACCTCTTACTGTTATACCCAAGAATGACCATTTAGGAGTAGGGAACAAAAATTTTCCGTGATGGCCATTGACTTTCCTGTACCCCACGCAGACAAAATAAAATGGAAGTCAGACTCTCCTATCTGGGTAGATCAATGGCCATTAACTCAAGAAAAACTTACAGCAGCCACCAAGTTAGTACAAGAACAATTAGCTGCTGGACACTTAGAATCCACCACCTCTCCTTGGAACACTCCTGTATTTGTAATTAAGAAAAAATCAGGAACTTGGAGACTCCTCCAAGACCTCAGAGAAATCAACAAAACCATGTTCTCGATGGGAGCCCTTCAACCCGGTCTCCCCTCTTCAATAGCCATCCCAGCTAATTATTTCAAGATCATTATTGATCTTAAAGATTGTTTCTTTACCATTCCACTCCATCCCCAAGATAGAGAATGCTTTGCGTTTAGTATTCCTGTCACCAATTTTAAAGGGCCAATGCATCGCTACCAGTGGAAAGTACTCCCTCAAGGTATGGCAGACAACCCCACTCTGTGTCAAAAATTGTAGCCCAAGCTATAGATCCCCTCAGACCCCAGTGGCCTTCCATCTATATCATTCATTATATGGATGATATCCTCCTGGCTGGAGCATCCAATTCTGAAGTCTTAAAATGTAGCCAAGAATTGACCATCTGTCTTACCTTTTTCAGTCTCCAAATTTCTCCAAACAAAATTCAGTTAACAGATCCCTATTACTACCTTGGTTTTGAATTAACTTTAAACAAAATCACTACCCAGAAGATCCAATTAAAAACATCACACAAACACTGAATGATTTCCAGAAGTTCTTAGGAGACATTAATTGGCTCCCCTCAGAAACTGTCCACCGAGGCAAAAGAGACTTTAAACATTGTCGAAACAGCTACACAACAACAACAAACTACGTTCCTATCCTATGACAGGCCCTTCGCTCTTATCTGTAATATGCCACACACCCCCACTGGAGTTTTATGGCAAAATAATCCTTTGTTATGGATCCATTTGCCCTCCTCCCCACCTAAAGTTCTTATCACATACCCCTCACTAGTTGCAAAGATCATAAAAATAGGCAGAGAAAAAAGCCGCCAGCATTTTGGCAGAGACCCTGATCAGCTTTATACCGACAGTGCCTACATAGCATACTCAGTTCCTATCCTAGAAACAGTCCCTTATATTAAACCTTCTACCAATGCTGTTTCCCTCTTCCAACAACTCCAAACCTTTATATTACTCAGACAAGCCCCTTTCTATATCGGACATCTGCGAGCCCACACTGACCTTCCTAGTTCCCTCTCCCAAGGCAATGCCCTCGCAGACAAAAATACCCGCTTCACATATTCTATTATAACCGATGCAGTCACCAAAGCTAGTCAATAC